AAAAATCTCATGTACGTAAAAGAGTATGACATTCTGATGAAGGATACTATAGGGATGAATGAACAACAACTTCAAGCTCACAACAAATTGTATGCTACTATACGGAGAAAGCATAATCTTGATTAGTGTGGTTGTTTTTTACAAATTGTGTGTTGTTGTTGTTGTTTTTTTTTTTTTTTGAAATTGTGTGTTTTTCTTACTTTTAAGGTTAGTATCTTTGGATTTGGTTTTGATTTTCAAGGTATTATTAATATATTTTTGTATTATGTTACATTTAAGTAATATGTCTTGTAATGTTACCTTAACTATAAATAAATTAAAACAAAAAAATTGATTAACGTAAATCTTTTTTAAAAACTACTTAACAAAAGGGCTGCATGTTGGTGCAATTAGGAAAAAGTAGAAAAGTTGGCACAAAAAGTGATGGATAAAGGCTTCCAAAATTGATGCGGCCCACTATTTATTAAATTAAAATGAAAAAATGTAATTCATTGGAAAGATAAACAAAAGATAAGATTTTATTTTTTTAAAAAAAAAATCAACAAGTTTGCAGGCATTTATCATGTACTCACTTTTGTTTCATCTATAAATACATCCCTGTATTGAACTTTTTATTCACCATTCATTGTTCTTTTAACAAATTTGCTCAGTGTTTTATATTGCCCTTGTCCATCATTTTTTCTAAATACATTACAAAACACTTCCGTAATTTTACCTCTTTTTTTTTTTTTTTTGAGATTGTCATCCACAATTCAACCATATATACTTCTCAATCCAAAATGTCTTAAATTCCCTATGATACTTCCATTGTAGCTAAAATGGTGCAATTCATTAAACATAAAATGAACGACGACACTGATGAGCAAATTATCACAATGTTAGGTCAATTAGAAGAAAATGAAGTTGAAAGTTCTCAAGTGCGTACTCAAAGACATATTAAAAGAGATCAAGAAGAAGGTCATATTCGACTGTTCAATGATTATTTTTCAGAAAATCCAGTCTTCCCATTGGATTATTTTCGACTAAGATTTCGAATGAGAAGAAATCTATTCATGTGAATTGTCGAAGCACTGGAAACTCATTCGAAATATTTTCAATGGCAATATGATGCCGCCGGTGTAAAAGGGCTCTCCCCAATTCAAAAAACAACAACTGCTATTCGGCAGTTAGCATACTGGGCGACAGGTGACCAAATTAACGAGTACATGGTAAATCCACTGCAATGGAGTGTTTAATGAAATTCTGTCAATATATAATCGAGATATACGGTGAACGGTATCTTAGAAAACCCAACACCGATGACATAGAGCGCTTACTTCAAATGCATTCAGAGTGCCACGGGTTTCCAGGCATGCTTTGAAGCATCGATTGCATGCATTGGTAATGGAAGATGTGCCCAGTTTGTTGGAAAGGCAAATTTACTTAAGGTGACATTGGTAAACCCACAATAATTCTTGAAGCAGTTGCATAAGCCGACATATGGATATGTCATGCATTTTTTGGACTTGCAAGGTTTAATAACAACATCAATGTTCTAAATTAATCCCCAGTATTTAATGATGTATTGCACTGGCATGCTCCTAATGTCCAATTCACAGTTAATCACACATAATACAATAAGGGCTATTATTTAGCTTATGGCATATCCTAAATGGGCAACATTTGTGAAGAGCTTTTCATCTCCACTAGATCCAAAAAGGCTTTTATTTAGGAAAATACAAGAAGCTGCAAGAAAGGATGTGGAACGGGCATTCGGGGTACTGCAAGCTCGTTGGGGTATTAGACATGGTCCAGTGACAAGCCGTCATCACACTAGTCAAATATTAATTACCTACTTAATGCAATTACTAGTACTAAAGTAGCAAGCAGGGTCGATCCCACAGAGAAGGATACCAAGTACCAGGTTAAAATTATTTGTTATTATTATTTAAATTAACAATTTATCAATTTTAAACTATTCTAAACCTAAAACTAACAATTGCAATTATTTAAAGATATAAATAAGTAAAAGAAAAACCTAGGACAACGGGTTCACCAACCGACTATTCAGTTTAATTTAATCTATAGATATGTGACTTTCGACTCTCATTAATCTCACAACGATTCACCTATTAAGAACTATTCACTGTCGTGATATAATTCTCTTACTCAAACTAACCCTATGACTACTGTCGTGACTAAAGGATTTATTTAGAGTACATAATCTATAGCTGCAAAGACGGTGTTCCTACTTTCGTGGCCCACTACCTAAGTTTAATATTCCCATGAACTAGTGCTAACCTTCAACCATCGTTCCTTCAGTTAAACACCTTTAAAGCATGCAAGTGGTGATCAAATACTCACATGGAATAAAAACAAGAATATTAAATATCAACTAATGAAAAAGTCACAATCATGGAATTAAATTAAATTAAATAGTACGGCGGCTACATCCAAAACCCTAGATTAAATAATTTAGCTACACATCATCTCAAAAATAAATAAAATAATGAAACGCGGGAGAGAGAAGTCGCATAATTGAGTCAGAAAATTGATCCAATGCTGCTCCTCTTGGCGATGATGGTGCGTAGGTGATATTGATGGGTTGATGATAATGGGGTGATGGAGGCGTGGAGTGTTGGGCGGAGGCTCAAGGTGGGGGTGAGGTTTGCGTGGATTTGGTGTAGGGTGATATTGATAGGTTGATGATGATGGGATGAGATGGTGATGATGCGTGGATTTGTGAGGTGAAGAAGAGCTCGAGGTGGTGGTGAGGTTTTAGGGGGCTGATGATGATGAAGAAGTAGTTTTGGTGATGGGGCGTGGGGTTCAAGATTTTAGGCCGGTGGTGCAGGGTTTTTTTTTCTGTCAAAAAATAAAACCCTAGTCCTCTTTTATAGGCTTTCCTTAAACCCTATTTCTTCAGGAATAAGAAAATTAATTTTTTTTTCAAGCCAATTTAAATTAAAACTCCTCCAAATCTTCAAGTGCTTCAATTATTTCCTTGTCAATTTATCAAATCTTCAATTCTCCCTTTGAGTTGCTTCTGTCTTCATTTTAGCCCAAAATTTCAACAATTCCTCCATTTGAGTACAATTCCTACAATTAAACATAAAATCATATAAATAACATATTTGTACTCAAAATATGTTGCAAAATCTCGCATAAAGGAATATAATAAATAGGTAAAATATAAGCATATCAAATACCCCAAACTTGAAATATTGCTTATTCTCAAGCATGCCCAAGAATTAAAACAAACAAAAACATTTAGTTATTTAATTCAGCGGCCTCAGAGATTCAATCATCATATAACACACAGATCTCGACTACCTCTAATATGGGTTACCTAACAATATGCAAACTATAGCTACTTTGAGCCCCCATGCTTGTGTGTGTGTGCAATCCGCTTCTTAGGGACATCACTTTATATTTAACATAGAAAACAAAAGCTCTGTTGCAAATATGTCATTTTTACTTTAACAACCGACTCACATATCACACTATATTTCAATGCAATGGACCACCAGACATGCTATGAAGTAGAAGGACTTATCTCACAAACAACCTATTCCCCCTCGTAACCGATTCTCCGGTCCATGCGGCTTTTCTTCAGGACTCTTTCCAACTCAGGCCACTACCCAGAGCATTTTTCCACTCTTATACATAGTGACTCAGCAACTTAGGGCAGTCTACATATCTATTTTTCCTCACGGGGCCTGAAGACTCTCCGCTTAGGTTGCCAATTCCTCACCTCTTAATGGGCTAGCATCAACATTGAATGCTCTTCCTTTCTCCCTCATTAAAATTAACCTAACCTCAGAAGCATCCGCCAACACCCCTCTCCTAAACTTACTTAACATAAAGTGTCAAGGCAATAAGGTTTTTTAAGGCTGATATTGGGTTAATTCCTTGCTTTTCCTTTACAACATGATGGGTTCCACATACAAATCCTATAAGTATGAGTGAATGACACAACTTTTCCTAGCATATCTACATCAAACTTATGCAACTATATCTCACTTTAGGCTTATCCCACAGTCACGACTAAGTCCATAAAAAGCAGGGTATTCAAAGCAATTTATAGAAATACATAAGTTAAGCAATACAATTCAAAATATTCTAATTCTTACATGTTATAGATAATTAAACCATCTTCATCATAGGCCTTTTTAGATTTTTCAACTTTTTCCAATTTTTATGGGGTGTTTAATGAAAATAAACACTTAACCTTGATTACCCTTAGTTGAGTCCTTGGTGAACCATGACAGTGATGATGCTTAACCTATATTTTTCCAATAAAAATAAATAAATAAAAGGGGCAAAACAACATAAAATCATCCATTTTAATCAGAATTCAGGTATGAATCTACTAGCACGGTCTTCTCTCACACTCTTCTGTGTAACAGTCTGTGCAACACTACAAAAAATTATAATGAGGGTCCAATTTTTATTTTTTAGTTTTTTTTTGTGGTGACAAATGTCCTTTTTTTATATATAGTTTTAGTATTCCACATTCTTACGAAATTTTGGTTTGAGCATAATTGCCTTGCTGGTGTTATTGAGAAATCTAAAGTAGCCCCAAAAAGCAGCAGATGTATTAAAATATCCTCATGCCTTGTACTCTCACATGGCCTTTATAATGCTACTAGCATTTGTTTTTTGTTCTTCAGTTAATTAATTTAAACCCAATCCAGTTAATTGATAAAGATAGAAGACAACGGATACAACGGCGTATAAAGAAGATGTGAAATCACGCGTTGTTTGACAGAAGTCAAAGATGACTATTGAACTTTTCGCTAATGTAATTACATAATAAAGCCTCGTACTGTATCGTATATATCGTCGAAACTCGGATCATGTGCGATCCTACCAGTTCTATTGTTTTGATACACAACTAGGGTGGTACGTACGATCTCAATATATATACTATCGATGGTATAATTGCGCTATACATTCTTGCACTCCGGTACCTTAGCCTTCGTTAAAAGCCTATGTAACAAACATTGTTAAGGTCAGCTCTAGGTGGATAGAGGGATGAGAGGGCGCAAAAGAGGGTAATCTTTAAGAAAATCTTGCTTGGATAACACGTCGCCTTCAAGCTGGGGAGTCCACAAAACCTGAACTGCCTGCATGAAAATTATTGTTATAAAGATTAGACATGGGTATAGAAAATAAAAAGAGTGACGGACGACGGAACTAAAGTGAAATTATCACACTGGCTTACCTGAGTTTGACTTGATGGAACAGATGCTAGCTTTTGTAAGGCTTCTTTCAAGTCTAAGCTAGTATTGATTGTAGGCAGCCTACTCAAATCTTCCGCAGCAACCAATATCGTAACCTATTACGGGAAATCACGAAAGGGTTTACTAATAGTCCGTAAGAAGAGTGAGATTCGATGTTAAACAAATTGTGATAGAAGGCCTAACGAAAAAACTAAAAAGCATTCAATAGAGACGGGAGACACTTCATTCTAATGTTTTACAGGCCTCTAATTTTATTAGATCTTATTGTTCTTACTTGATTTACAAGAAATGGACCAAGCATGTTTCAAGTTTCCAATGAATCCACATAATGAAATATAAAGAAAATTCATGTTTATTCTTACCACGATGTAGTCATTACTATATTCATGGGCTGTCTGAGCGGTTGAGCTTCGCTTCTTTATGTTGTCAACATTGGAAACTGTCTCATCGATTCTTACTGAAGTGTAGTCATTACTAATATTACCAGCTCTCTGGCCGGTTAAACTTCTCTTTTTTATGCTGTCAACGTTGCCAACTGTCTCCTCATTAATACTTATTACAACGTACTCATCATTGGGTCCACTGGCTGTTTGGCCATTTGAACTTCGCTTCTTTATGTTGTCAACATTGACAGGTGTGTCCTCATCAAATTTACGACGTTCTTCAATAGAAAGTTTATTGAATAGCTCTTTTACTCTTACTATACTATTCTTAACATCAACCTGCATTTTCATTAGCACCATAGAAGAGTTAAGAATCTGATAAACCACTTCAAGAGAAAAGCAAAACTAACCTATTCAAAGATGAAAATGAATTATGAAAACTGCAAAGGTCAGCCAGGTTCTGAATGACATTTTTGTACTTTTTACTCACCGATGAATAAGCAGAGATGCAATATTCAGGATGTCGAAGCAAAGTGGATATAGTTTCTGCAACCAAGGAATGAAATAAGATAAGTTTATATTGAGCTCATATGAAAACAAAAGAAAAAACTGCTAATAGCTCCTGGAAGTTATGTAGAATCGAAAACAGCGCATAAAAAAAGTAAACATTTAGCATGGATGTTCATAATCTGACGAGGTTCCGTAGGTCTATATAGAGAGCCTAACTTTAGAATCGCACCACCCTATTTCTAAATCAGTTCATTTATGGAGGCAAACTAAGACATCTCTAATAATTCTTTCATCTCATATATAATAAGAGGAAAGGGAGCAAGATGCGGCTATATAATTTTGAAAAATGATTTCTCGTTCCATGAGAATTCTTTCCCAATGGTTAAGCATGATACTGCCTAGGATGGAGCTGAATTCATTAGGAATGGAGCAACAGACGTACATTAATTAGTGTAGAATAAGTATTTAGTGCAAGGTCGGGAATTGAAAGAGGAATAAGCCTATTAAAGCAAAGGTTAATGCTGGTAGATCTCACTCCCTATATGTTCTTAATAGGCCTACAACTTCAAATTGAATCTTATCAGTCTACTCCCATAAATTATTGCGGATGCTAGAAAATTAGTTGAACAATGGGAAATAAACCTGAACTCACAAGTTGTACGTGTTCAGAGCCAGAGACTACCACCCTCTAATTTTTTTTCTCCTTTAGCGTGAATGTTCCAAATAAACATAGTTCATTTAACCCTTGAAAATAGGAAAACCCTTTTGGGATGACTAAAGCATACAATTGTAAACTATTTCTCCATCTAGAAATCCTGTGGACTGCCAACAAAACCCAAAACGGATATCACAAAAGTAATAGATTCAGAAAACACGTTACCAGTCAGTACGAAGCTTAATCCTTCCTTGGTAGATGTATTTGCACTTTTAGCAATTAGATCGAGATCCCTCTGAAGTGATCTTGCCGAACCCATCAAGCCAACCTAAAAGAGAAAGTAGCCATTGGATATAAATAAGAAGTTTTGTTTATACATGAAGAAGAAACGGGTGAAAGTTAGCCCATTGAAAAAGTTAGTATCAATTTTTATCATTCAGTTGTCACTAGTAGCTTCATCTGTTAATCTAACTCTCAGAGGATCATTAATTGATTTCATGAGCAGAATGTAATAGGAAAAGATAGAATGATAGTTCAAACTTGCAGCAAGCTAAAATTCTTGTACAGTAAAATACCGGCTCCTTAGATATTAACAAGATTGTGTTGTCACAAAATAGATGTTGGAAACATCGTACAGTAAATTAAAGGAAACAAAAACCGGCAATTATGGGACATCCAGAACAATAGCTAGGTCTGCAAGGCAAACTCTCTTTAGCTAATACCTAATGATGATCAGCATGACCCTGCCTCAAGATCTGGTGTAGCTAATCCTCAAGGGACTTATTACTTGGAAAATCAACAAAACTTTCTGATGGAAAAAATCCTCAATTACTGCGAATCAAATAGCCACTCAAACATTGCCTATCTATATGTTTCCCACCACATTATTTCTCTTCAAGCAAGTTCAACCCATTAAGTGAGACAAAACATCAGAATAACCAATACCAAAAGTGTTCTATCACAATCAACTAGGAAAATTGAACATTTATCTACTAAAGAACCAACCACCAACTAGTGCCAAAAGACCTAATGCCACTACAAATATTATCAGCCACAATCTATACATTTACCTGGAGCTTCACAACACTAATTTTTGGCGAACAATAGTTCAGAAGGACAACGAACAATATCACCACTATGATTAGGAGTAGGATAAAACCCAACTCTCCACCGGCCTGCTCTCCAGAGCTACTACTCGAAGAACCATTTTTAGCGGAGTAACTTGAGTAGTCATTATAATGTGTCCATGACGACGAAGAGTAACCACTCGATGACGAGTAATCAGTCGAAGACGAGGATGATGAAATAGAGTCTCCACCCATTACACCGCCAGAGGAAGCCAATGCAGGGCTGGGATAATACACCAGCAACAACAATCCCAAAACAGCTGCCACCGCAGCAGGGTTTTGCAGAGTTTTCCGGGTTTCTTTTAAGGCAAAGTTGGGAAATTTATTTTGCCACAAAACAGTTTTCGAGGACTCTTCGTTACCACGTCCATGTTTATTCCAACGTTTAGGAGCCATGGAGAAGGCCCGATCAAGAGTAAATCCCATGGTTCTTGCTATTGTTGCTCAGTTTGCACTCCTTGATCAATAGGTGATGGAAACAAAAGGGTCTGTATTCTTGTTGCTACTGAGGCCCCACAGGAATTTAACTGAGAGAATTATGGTCGTCGGAACCAAATTGAATTCGAAACAATATTTTGTAGAATTGCATATGGATTAGGCTTATCATGGCGAAAGATTCTCTCCCGTTTTTTGTACCTTATTAATTAATTGCTTCCTTTCTCTACTTGCTTAGCTTTTTCTCCCCCCTTTTCCATCAAAAAAACTACTAGTTATCTTTCTCTCCAAGTAACTCACTCGGTACGTGTGTGGAGCAACAAAACATACACCGCATCGCGCGAGTTAACTTGCGATAGTTTTCCTTTTAACAAAAAAAAAAAAAAATTTGATATTACACTTTCCGAGGCACAAAATTTAAACTCAATTTAACATTATAATTAAGGCTGGAGGATTTTTTTCTTTTTTAAAAAAACAAGATTCATGTATGTTTGTACTTAAAAAAAAGAAAAAAAACGAAAAAGGCCATGTATGAAGTTTGGCATCATTGCATAATTTTGAACATAACAATTATGTACTCCCTCCAGTCATCCTTATAAAATATTTAGATTTCTCCTAAATCTCCTTTATTAGATTCTTCTAGTTGAAAATATCTTAAAAATGTATTTTCACCTTTATTATGTTCTCTCAATTATTATAAAGTGTATTTTTAAATAATTTTTTTAAAAAATTACATCTATAATAAAACATCGATAAATTAATACTGTCTAAATTTATTCCAAGTAAAACCAGTAAAAACAGGAATAATATCGATAGACAATAAGATTATAGTATATATTTTAGAAGACCGCTATATATAATTTAATACTTAATTATCTAAATGGAATATGACTTCATTCATTCAGCAAAATATGAATACAGTGATGTTTTTCCCCCTTACAGAAATTAATTTCTGAATGGTTTGTTTTGTCTGCAGGCAATACATTAGAAAAATATGTTCAGGAGTTAAATCTATACTTAATTTTAAATATGTGCAGGAGTACTTAATTTTATTGGCTGTCGTTTTTCATTTTCTCTTTCAAAGATCGATCTGTGATTTATGAGTTATCAAATGGGATAAAACTTTTGTGATAGGTATACGCGTACAGGTTTGGAGTTTAAAAATTGGACTTAATTTGTAGAGGATAGTACTGTTCTGTTTACAAAATCTCCATTTTATATTCTTCGAAACCAAACATAAAGTCAACCCAAAAAAGAAAAAAAGGAAAAACAAACTTCCGATAGAAATTATTTCAAATCCTCGGTATCATTCATTCGTGATATTATACCATAGCATCCTACTAGATGTTACCTGCACGATGTGTGGGGTAAGAATAAATATTTATATAAAAAAATTTGTAAACTTTTACTAATAGCTTGAAATGAACCGAAACTATTAAAAAAGATGCAATAAATTTTAAAAACAACTAAAATTAGATTGTTTACCTATTCATCAATCAGCAAAGCTTGGAAGGATGAGTTAACATCAAAATTTGTTGTTCATACGTTGAGGATTCATAAACTGACTTTCCATACAGTTTCAGTTGTCAAGTCTTTTATGAAATCGACCGTGTTGCTATTACGGGAGGTCGATCAAGGGGTGCTTGACTTTAGGGTGGCTCAGACTCAATTTCGTGGACAAAAAAATGTGTAAGGTTTACGAATTGGACAAATCTAATGTTTTTGCGATTTCAAAACGCGAAACCAAAAAATTAAATTAAAAATTCGTGTTTGTGAAACGCGAATTCTGTTAATGGAATTAAAATAATTAAATTAATATTTGCACAAATTGATCCGGGAAAAAAGAGAGAAAATGGAATTAAAAAAGGGAAACCAAAAATAGCGTTTTGAAAATGCGAATATTCTAATTCGCGTTTCAAAAACGCGAAAAAGCTATATATTTAAAATAAATTTTTTTGATATTTTCGCATTTTCAAAACGCTAAAACCATTTTTTTTGCGTTTTCAAAACGCTAAATCGTCACAATATTCGGTCTATTTTCAAAACGCTAAATTGTCTAAAATTTATTTTAAATATATAGCTTTTCGCGTTTTTGAAACGCGAATTAGAATATTTGTGTTTTCAAAACGCTATTTTTGGTTTCCCTTTTTTAAGTCCATTTTTTTTCTTTCTTTTTTCCCGGATCAATTTGTGCAAATAATAATTTAATGTTTTTAATTCCATTAACGGAATTCGCGTTTCACAAACGCGAATTTTTAATATAATTTTTTGGTTTCACGTTTTGAAATCTCGAAAACATTAGATTTGTCCACTTTTTAAACCCTACACATTCTTTTTGTCCACGAAATTGAGTCTCCGCCACCCTAAAGTCAAGCACCTGCTAAACATATCACCACATTCTGCCAAAATATACATACCTGCAGCTTGAGAATACTTGACTGAATCGGTGGATTCACCATCACATATAACCCAACGCAGATGATGAGAAATACCAAGAATGCTGGAGGCAGCAAATGCTGGTTTGGGATCATACATAAACAAGAACCCGGCAAGAAGCGACTGCTTGCCTTTTCGGGTGCTTGACTTTAGGGTGAGTCAGACCCAAATTTGTGGACCAAAAAATGTGTAGGGTTTAAAAACTGGACAAATATAATGTTCTCGCGCTTTCAAAATGCGAAACAAGAAAATTACATTAAGAATTTGCGTTTGGGAAATGCGAATCCTAAATTAGTTATTTTTTCCCCAAATTCAACCGGGACGAAAGAAAAAAAAATTGAATTAAAAAAGGAAAACCAAAAATAGCCTTTTGGAAACGGGAAAAATCTAATTTGCGTTTCAGAAACGCGAAAATTTTTTTTCGCTTTTTAAAAATGCGAAAAGCTTTGAATTTTAAATTTTAAATAAATTGTGGGTTGAAAATAACAATTTAGCGTTTTGAAAACGCGAAAAAAAAGTTTTAACGTTTTGAAAGCGCGAAAAATGATTTTAGCGTTTTAAAAACGCGAAAATATCCTGAAAATCTCCTCAACCACTCATTCGCTCCACGTGTATTTTGATGATACGTCTTGAATGTATTCGTGTTTTGTAAACGCGAAATTTAAGATTCACATAGGAAACCAAGCAAAATAACAGCATTTCTTCCCAAACTTTTTTCATTCTGTTGAGCTCCGATTTTTCTTCCCAAACTTCTTTCATTCTGTTGAGCTCCGATATTAAGTTTCATTCCGGAGGACATGGCTGAATCCATGAAAACTCTCATTTCTTTCAAATTGAAAAGTTGTTCCGAAGTTAAAGAAGATTGATTTCAGTTCTGAAGCCTATTTAAAACCCTAAGTTTCAACATTCAGGTAAGTTTATTTCGCTATACAATACATGTACTTTTTTATGCCTTATTGTGAGCATAGGATGATTTACGCATTATTATTAGTTAATAAATAATAGTGATTTAGTCAATTAACGGCGGTTTTTTAATTTGGCTCGTAAAGTGAATTGAAAGAAATATTAGTTAATAGAATGTTAAATTAGATGAGCTTTGTAAATTATTGTATATCGATTTCTGTAAAATAAAATAAATTTATAATAATGATATAGAATTTTTGAATATTTTTAGCATAAGAATAAATTATGTAATTCGGGCATAAGGTTTAGATTTAATATTAATTTTTAGCGTAGAAATGAATTTGTAAATTTAGGCGTATAGTTGTTCTTTTGAAATTATTAAATCTGTAAACGGGGTAAATACTGTTTCTGCAAAACTAAATTTCAAAATGTATTCTAGTGTTCTGACTTCGTAGGAATTGATTTTGCAAGCCGCAAATGTCTTTCACGGAGACAGTTCGTCTGAAAGTATACTGGAATACTACTTATACAACTGAACCTGATGGGACTATCACGGTACACCGGGATGCGCCGGACGGTTATCTTATCATTGATCGTATGTTAGATTTCTCGGAACTTGTTGATAAGGTATGTGGTGTGATGGAAGTTGATAGAGAAGGGCTGTATATTGATTTTTCTTTGTTATGGAACGAGAGGTCAGGAAAAAGGTCTCGTGTGCACATTAATGATGATAATACTGTTCGGTTCATTTATCATTGTGCTGATAAATGGCCAGAATTGTACCCTAAAAATGTTGAGAGAATAGGCCATGTTTATGCAAGTACATCTGGCCAGGATATTTGTGCCAGCACTAGTGCTTGTAGAACAGTTGAAGACAATGAAGATGAAAATGGAGATGAAAATGAAGATAAAGATGAAGATGAAGATGAAGATGCCGGGGGTGTCGAAAGCAGTGATGATGAGTACGTCCCATCGGATGAGGACTCAGATGACGACATTGATTTTGAGTCATCTTCTTTAGTCCCATATGTTTTCGATGACATCAGTGGATGGGACAAGACTTTAGAGGAAGTAGATTGTGATGGGATTAAAATGTGGGATGGCAATCCATTGACGCTAGGCCTTGATGTGCATTTCACCAACAAGCCTGAGGCACAGGTGGCAGTGGAAGAATGGAACTTAGTACATGGTCGGACTTTCCGGGTGAAAACGAGCTCTAAACGATCATGGCATGTCGAATGCGAGACCTGTAGACCAAAATATCCGAAAGAGCGTCTTCACGGCTATGATTGCCTGTGGAAGGCGCGAGTTTCGCTACAGAAGGCCATCGCTATATCTCTAGGTTTGAAATGATCACCACGGCAGACTTGTGGGGGCTGATGATGATTATGTTGGTGAACCTACAGCAGATCCGGAGTATCTCTTGTGGTACCATCAGGTTACTGTAAAGTATGTTACGGATCCGACAGACTCTGAAAATGCGAGGGGTTTTCACGGCTCTGCAGAGACCTTGCGCCTCATGGTGAGTATTTCGCCTACAGTCCATTATGTAATTTATTTTCATTGTTATCGATTTATGATTCTTTCTAATAAAAATTTCAGGCCACATTGATGGAGGACGTTCGTAGTCTGAGTATTATAGGCCAGCGTACTTTCGACGCGGACTCCTTTGGTTATGATCGCTTAGGCGAGATTGCCCAGGTTGCTGAGGGGGCGTTGTCCGTCAATGCAACGAATGTTGTACGTCACGATCTCGATAGGCATGTTGAGGTTAATGACATTTTGAGTCAAGAACTTGCACCTGTAGACCCGACCCAGCAACATCCACCTCCTAGACCTCCGAGGCGTTCGCGCAGGTCTTAGCGTGGGCGTGGGGGGCAAGAGACAATCACGCCCACTCAGCCACATCAGTCCTCCCAGCATCAGCAGTCTCAAATCCCCTTCACTGACGGTTCATCCCATCAATCTCCACTTATGTCTCCACACCATTCTTCGCAGCATTCATCCCATCAGTCTCCACATTCTCCACATCATTCATCCCATCAGTCTCCACATCAGTCTCCCCATCATTCTTCCCTGACCCAACAGGCATTTTATCGTCCCATTATGTCTCCCCATTACTAGCAGTCCCATTTTGTCTTCACTCAGTTTTTCTCCCCCCAAACTTCCCAGCCTCAGGTTGGAGATGCTTTTATTGACTTTTCTGGGTTCCAGCAGAGTTTGCTAGATGGCCAGTCGATACATTACACGAGTAACTTTCTTTCGAGTATGTTTGAGGGTGTTGGGGGTCAACATCAGGCTGATGACCCAGCTGGAGGTGAGCGTGAGAGTCACGGTGAAGATGAGGATGAGGATGAGGCTCAGGATGCATTATTTTATAAAATAATAATTAATTTTTTAATATATCAAATTACTGAACATTACTGAACATTTTTCATATCAAATTATTTTATAAATAATAATGAATTTTTTAATATAATTTTTAAAAAATTTTATAAATTATAATAATTATTTCATAATTTTAATAATTTATATTTAGTATAGCTCTATTTAATTTAATGAGTATCAATTATATTATTATATTCATACCAAAATTTAATTTTCCTATTATTAATATAATTTTTCTATTATTAATTTTCTTCTTTATAGCTCTATTCAAAATTTAATGATTATGAATTATAATTTTAAAATTTTCCTTTAATTTCATTATTAAAATTTAATAATTTTTTGAAGTAAATTTGCCTACAATTTTTTAAGCTATGCAAATTAATTGAATTTTTCTGACTATTTCCTTTTTTATTTAAATAAAATATTGTTTTTTATTATTTTCGCGCTTTGAAAACGCGAAAAATAATCTTTTTTATTTTTTTCGCGCTTTGAAAACGTGAAACTTTATTTAATCAAATTTTTTACCATTAATTATTTGCGATTAAGTTAAATTAATTAATATAACCTATTTTTAGCGTTTCTGAAACGCGAAAATCTTCTTTTAGCGTTTTGAAAACGCGATTTTGCCAATTTTCGCGTTTTTGAAGCGCGAAAGAATTAGTTTTGGGGACAATTGAACCCTAAAACTATTTTCTTCTTCAGTAATTTTATTAGATACATATAAGTAATTTTTCCTTGCTTTTTCATAGCTTTGAGGGCTTCAAACAGAAATTTATAGAGTTCATTAATACGTTTGGCCTGCAATGACTGTAGTAAAACATTCTTCGAGAATTCCTAAATGTTGCCGACTCAAAGGCTTGGGCTATTTAAAGTTACTGAATTGTGGGATTCGAAGCAATGGAAAGTAAATCTTAAGGGTTTGTTGCGGTGTTGAAATGAAAGTTTTGTGGGACTTGACGACCGCAACGAAGGGTTCCATTTGAGGTTTGATTTCAGCAACAAAAGGGTTTGTTTTGCTGTTGATATGGAGGCCATACAGGAATTCGAACGAGAGGTTTATCGTCGTCGGGGACCTAACTGAATTGGAGAAGAGTTTTGTAGAATCGTATTTATAGTGTGTACATCGTAAACTAGGGTTACCCTCAACCATGACGCGCGCAAAAGTTAGATTAGGGATTCCAGATTTGCTGTATACTATGTTGGCGTTACTATCAGTATTTAATAAAATTGACTCGTAAAATGGTAAATCAATTATACAAGCAGTACCACATATGATTGTGGTTTTACTGAGAAAGTTACGAACAAATTAAGTGATCATAGTAATATTTTTGTTATATCATATATAGTCGTGTTTTTTTTTTTTTTTGGTTAAAATATATAGTTCTGTTTTCGTACTAACAAAAAGAAACCAACTGTTACACGGTAAATTCTTTCTGTTACATGATCTCAGTTCCCCCTTCAAATTGGAACCGGGGCCGGCAATTCAAAAATCGGAGTTGGCAGTTCGAAACCAATGCTCGACCATCTAGTCAAATACTGGTCACGGATCAAACCTTAAAAACCTGTAATCCTTTGAAAAATCATTATCCAGCCGTTATAAAACTAGCAATTCCAAACCGTTATAACACGTATTATTTACCGGAAAGTTTCTTTTTTTTTAAATATTAGTTGATCCTCCTTCTGTCCTAACAAAAAGATCCAAGTTTTGAGCAGAATTTTTAAAAAAGTTTTTTATTCTAAACAAAAACAATATAAGAATGAAACTTTTGAATATAAACCTGTGTATTCAAATCTACTTGATCTATAATGTACTCTCTCTATCCCAAAATTATTACTCATTTTAGATTACTATTTTTAGTTCAATTTATACTAAGAATGAAAATCCAAATAAGACAATAATTATGGAACGGATGGAGCACAAAAATTATCTACATCTCTTTGTCCTCTATGCATACATGTGTCCATCGACAATAAAAACTAAAAGCCAAAAAAAAAAGGAAAACCATGTACTACTACTTTTTACGACATGATATTTGTAACCCTGGTGTTGACAAGGGGATTCGTTTAAAAAAATTAAAATGATGAACTTCTTTAATAATCATTTTTCTTGAACTACAAAGGCAAGATTTCCACAATTTCAACTTTTTTTACTCATTCTTCTTAGTCAGTTTCCGGTGTTGTTTTCTTTGTGTGTTGTTGTTGTTGTGTTTTTTTTTTTTTTTTTTGATTACTCTATTCTTCTCTTTGATTGTGTTTTGACACAAATTGAACAGTATACAAATAGACATTGGAATAGTAAGAAACCTGATATAAATCGTCAACAATCTGGATTGAAGTTGCCAATAAATCGGGACCGTCGTATATCGGCCCCAGTTCAAAACCTCAAACTTTATAAGCTCAAACTAAATTTTGTATTCAAATTGAAAACCTCACAATAAGTTCATTTAAACGTAGCTCAAAAGAAGCAGTATCTATCATTAATCAACTCTTTAATCAACAAAGCAGCAGAGAAAAGTATGAAATCAAGATCAGGAACTCAAGAACACTTTGCAAATGAATCAAGATATTTTTGAACATACTGTTCGTATTTACACCTTAAAAAACAACAGATGTTTCTTCTACTACGTATCTATACAAGTTCTAACCGACTTATTAACAAACTAATCCAGCTGTACATGATGTTTATTTACAGTCTTACAGCTTACACAAAGCAATCTGGCCGTCAATTAGCTTGGTTTGTTTGATGATGATGAATCTTGATGATTGAATGTTGACTGCCTTAAGTTGTCGCAGATTGATGACCTGGATAAGTTAGTTAACCAGAAGATTCCTCGCGTAGGTCAATTGCAGTTTGCTGCATTGAACAACTCAGAAGGATCATTGAGATCACGTGTAGACGAAGTCTCTTCTAGAAGCAGGTGTGCTGCTGCTGAGATCGTTTGAGATTCCATGCATGCAGGCACAATTTTGCAATTCTGTAATTCATCTGATTTGTTATATTTCAACATCCCCCTGCAAGAGGAGCGTGTATCAAGCTCATCTTGGACAGAATGTTGCAAAAAATTGAAGCTTCCAAGGGTTTTGTGAAGATGTTTGCAAGCTGTCCGGAAGAAGCCACATGCTGTGGAAGGATGAACCCGTCTTTGTACTTGTCACGCTCAATATGACAATCAATTTCCAGATATTTCGTTATTTCATGAAACACTGGATTGGCTGTGATGTATAGAACGGCCTGATTATCATAGAAGAAAGGAGTTGGAAGCTGAAGAGGAGCATGTAAATCTGCAAGAAGGTACGAAATCCACTGTAATTCTCGAACTGTTGAGGCCATGGCCCTGTATTCAGCTTCTGTTGTGGAGCATGAGTTGGTCGTTTGCTTCTTTGCTTTCTAGGAAACCAAGCTGCTCTCCAGAAAGATGCAATATCCGGTGACGAAATGCCTTAAAGACTGAAGGGCATGAAGGGCCACTTAGATATTTCATGACATGAAGGGCAGCATTCATGAGAGACTCATGAGGAGAGTGGACAAATTTTTTAAATTGTTGAACTGAGCATGAGTTCGGGTCTACTGAAGTTAAGATAGAGAAGTCTTCCAATTAATCTTCTGCATTGTCCTGGATCAGCAAGTAAAGGTGTTTTATCCTTGTCTTCTTAAACAAATCAAAGATCCTTAGGCAATGGTGCATTGGAAATTGTACAATCCAGCATATTTGTATCCCTTAGAAGATCAGTGATGCACTTCTGCTGCACAATGTACTGACCCTGATCAGTGTAATTCAATTCCATTCCAAGGAAGTATTTAGATGTTCCCAAATCCTTGATTGTGAAGGTCTGATCTAAGAAAGCCTTGACCTTATTTATCTCTTCCAAATCACTGCCTGGAAGTAGAATATCATCTACATAAACCAGAAGCAACATCATACATTTCTCAGTATGCAAGACAAACAAACAATTGTCATTGTAGGATTGAACAAATCCATATCTCTGTAGTTGTGATGTGAACTCCTGATTCCATTGGCGAAAAGCTTGCTTTAACCAATATATTGACTTCTAGAGCTTACATACTTGAGTGGGACCTGCTTCTCTATAACCTTGAGGAGGTAACATATATACTTCCTCATTCAGAAAACCATGTAAGAAAGCATTATTTACATCCATCTGGAAGATTGGCCATGACCTAACAATGGCAACAGCAAGTAGTAATCTAACAGTTACTGCCTTGGCTATTGGAGAAAATACTTCAAAGAAGTCCTCTCCTTCCACCTGATTGTATCCTTTTGCCACTAATCTCGCCTTGTATTTATCCACAGTCCCATCTGGCTTACATTTAACCTTGTAAACCCACTTAGATCCTATTGCCTTCTTTCCAGGTGGCAATGGTGTAAGTTCCCAAGTCCCATTCTTCTGTAGTGCATCCAACTCCTTATTCATAGCATCTACCCACTTATAATCTATCTTGGCCTGATTATAGGTAC